ACCGGTGGGTGGGTGGGTGGGTGGGTGGGTGGGTCGTTTCGAGGGTCGGGGGAAGGTACTGTAATACGTGCCTTTGAGGACCCGGACAAGCTGGTACTCTTTCTCGGTAAGTATTAACAACTGTGCTTGTTCGCACATCGAGCCGTTGTGTTGCACTCTGATGTGCAAGTTTCGGCTGTTTTCTTATTATATAACGACAGGAAGGGCATCAGCGCCCCCATCACGCCGGTCGATTTGCACCAACGATCCGCCGGAAGCATGAGCGGGGAGGCCGCTGCCGACGCATCCATCCAGGCCAAGGTACCACCGCTCTGATATGCATACCTCTCGGTACTCTTATTACCGTGTTTAGAGCGAACCACACGGCGACGTGCTGAGGGAAATAATAAGATCAACGTGAGTTGACCGGAGCTACTTGCTGATGTCGGGGCCACTTCAGAACCTGGAAGCTGCGAACGTCGGGCTCCTCAAGAGGGATAATTTTACAAACTTGACCTTTAGAGCAGGTGTAAATCCTACAATATAACCTATCGAGTCGCTGTTGGATTATCCCCACCAGTAACGCAAGAAACGTGCCTGGGGAAAATTCAGAGGTTCTTTTACTGCAATCACTCTGGTGCGTTCAATACTGACGTCGCTCATCACCCAGATGGGAGCTAGCTTGTTTTCGGGTACACGAGGCAGCTGAACAGTAGGATGGGCGCACCAGCAAGTGTCGTGAAAAAGCGCAAAACACAAAGACTGCCGGCAAGCGCCGAGCGTACCAAGTGTTAGCGGCTTCGCGTCGTGCCGTCACAGCATTCCCTTGAATCAGCACAGCTAGGGACAGCAATCGCCTGTTTGCTGCAGTTACCGCAGCGGGTATGATCAGGTGAAGAAAGACATGCGCACAGCAGCGTAAACTAAATCTCCGACATACAAGCACCCGAGTTGCCTTTCCTGACCTTCACGGGTAAGGAGGCATGGACTGGGTGGAGCCCACACAATCGTTGAATATCGTCACTTCCGTTCCACAAACCCTCCAACATGCCGCACCATTGTAATGGGTTTACCACACCGCTATTCTCCACATATTTACCACGAGCCCTCCAACACGCTGCACTCATGGTGTTGGCTTTTCTATGCTTCCTTCGCAACATGTGGTGCAAGTATGTCAATTGCGGTCGACTCGACATTTGAGGTTTTCTGTTTCAACCCAAACCTTGATTTTGCAGCGAAGAGGAAACGTTGCGCCAATCGGGGGATGGGGTGCGGGTTTGCATCTCCTTGCTCCGTCAGATGACGGCCACGTGTACGTCATCGAGGGGGCGACGGCATGCGTGAACAAGATCGACCTAGGGGAGCGCGTGCGGAGCATGGTTCTGGCGGATGATGTCGACGGCGACGGGACCCTTGACCTTATCGTGGGCACCATGAGCGGCGAAGTAAGGCATAGTGTTGTTTTGTTGTTGTTGTTGTGGTCGTCGTCGTCGTTCTTGTTGATGCTGTGCTGCTGCTGCTGCTGATGCTGGCACGCCGTGTGCGGCAAAGCGACGCGTGGTTCATCGCAGGTGTTGTGATGATAACAGATTCGCCCGTCCTCCCCTCGTATCGCTTGCTTCGTGTGGTGAAATTTTTGCAGGTGGTGGCGCTGTCGGCGAACGTGCCGTACCACCCGCTGAACGCCTGGACTTCTCAAGTGCGGGGCCCCACCAATGGTTTCACGCACGGAGGCTACCAGGTGACCGTTGCAAGATCGCAGAAGCCTCGGTAGTACTTTCTCGGCCACGGGCTTTTGTTTCTGGGTTTCCGTGGAAGACGAGGAAATGAGAGGCTGTCGACGTTGACGTCAGAAGCAAACACCGTTTCGGCAACAATTGCCGCGTACGTGTGGTGATCCTGCCGCCAAGCCGTCCGGGCGTTATCATACGGAACCTTCCCGCCGTCTAAGTAGTCCGCTCCGATAGGCCCCGCCCAGCCGCCATAGTCCCTCCCCCCTCCCCCAATATCTGATGAGCCTTGTGGAACGCGGATCGTCCGTCAATATACGCCTAGGTTCTTTTGCGTTGCCACCCTCTCAGAGTCTTGTGGGCATGGCCGAGCTTCTCAACTGTTTCAACCTAACCGCCACAGTTAGGCTTGCGCCTGACCCTCTTTTTGGGCCGATTTTCTGTCACACGGACCTACATTTGAACAGACTTTAATTCCTTCCTGGTTATTTTTCGACCAATGAAAACCCACCAATTTTGACAATCGAGTCAACTTTCAGGCGAACAGGCCACAACCATCTGTATTCGAGCGTGTTTTATTGTAGTTTTTTTGGGGGGGCGTGGGTGTGGTTTCGAGTGGAGAGCACACACCGCAGCAGCCGCATTTAAAGTGCATGGTGCGGTGCTCCGCCCAACTGGACGAGGACCACCCCCCCGCGGGCCGTCGCCACGGAAATGGCCGACAACGCCGGAGAGGGTCAGGCCCAACCCACGGCTGCTGCACCTTCTCCTCCTCCTCATGAACCACCCGAAGTCCTCAGCGAAGAAGGTCCAATTTTCGCTCACCGCATCGGGTGCCTGCTCCACGTGCTCCATCTCGCTGTCAACGCCGGGATGGAGTGCGAGTTTTTCATGGGCCCTCTTGGCGGCAAACGCTCCTGGTACGAGTGGGAGAGCAACCACCTCGTCGTCTTAAGAGTCTGAGTCTGAGGCGTCAGAGAATCTGAGTGGTACGTCGGAGGAGGAGAGCGGCGATGACGCGGAGCCCTGAATTTTTTTGTTTCGAAGGAATCTTGGCAGAAATCGATTTTTTTCAAGTTGACATCAGAAAGGACGTGTATCCAACCCCAACCTTCCCCAACTTTGGCGAGGTTCAAGTCACACTGCGTCGCGAGAGGGTTGTCCACAGCTACTTTTAGCGCTGGAACGGTGGCAAAAGCTGCTCTAGCGGTCGCGGTAGAGGCTGTGCGCGTTGGACAAAAGTTGATGTATGATGCGCGAAAGACTCTNTCAAGTTGACATCAGAAAGGACGTGTATCCAACCCCAACCTTCCCCAACTTTGGCGAGGTTCAAGTCACACTGCGTCGCGAGAGGGTTGTCCACAGCTACTTTTAGCGCTGGAACGGTGGCAAAAGCTGCTCTAGCGGTCGCGGTAGAGGCTGTGCGCGTTGGACAAAAGTTGATGTATGGTGCGCGAAAGACTCTCCATCCCAAAAATTCAACCAACCGCGGTGCGTGCGCGTGCGTGCGTGTGTGTTTTTTCAAGTTGACATCGAAAAGGAATCGCATCCGACCCCACCCTTCCCCAACTTTGGCGACGTTCAAGTAGCATGGAGTCGTGAGTGGGGTGTCCACAGCTACTTTTGGCGCTGGAACGGTAGCAAAAGCTGCTCTAGCGGCCACGGTAGAGGCTGTGCGCGTGGCACAAAAGTTGATGTACGATGCGCGAAAAACTCCACACCGGAAAAAATTCAACCGGCGGCGCGTTTGCATTTTTTCAAGTTGACATCAAAAGGCAATCGCATTCCATCCCCTCCCCCAACCTTGCCGAGGTTCAAGGGGCACTGCGTCGCGAGTGGAGAATCCACAGCTACTTTTGGCGCTGGAACGGTGGCAAAAGCTGCTCTAGCGGTCGCGGTAGAGGCTGTGCGCGTAGGACAAAAGTTGATGTATGATGCGCGAAAGACTCTGCATCCCAAAAATTCAACAGCGGTGCTTTGACCATCGAGACCCGATCTTGGAAGAGGTGCTGTGCGGCGTCGGAGTGGTGGATTGTGGCGCGGCTTGTTATGTGGCCTTCGCAGAAACCAGAGCTATGTTTATATCGATGTCGTTTCGCGCAATCACCACACACGCACGAGGCCGCTGCTGAAACCTCTGAACAACACCGAAAATCACTGGTTTTTAGAGTCTAGACTGGCTTTCTGGTGTCCGTTCCAAAAAACTGACCGACAACAAGACGCATATGGTCTGTTCACAGGTCTCTGTCCAATATCAAGAGCCAGTTTGATTGTGGGAGCGAGTATTCCACGATACCAGGTCATGCTCTAATATCAAGTTAAAACCCGATCTGGCGTCGTCGGCAGGTAGTGCGGACCAACATTCCTTTCGGAAAAACACACACACAAAAACGAATAATCGGCCCACGCGCATACACGATTTGGGGGGGTCAGGCGCAAGCCTAACAGTATTTGGGCATCAGGTAATGCCGGTGCCCGCTGTAGTCCCGGTGAAATCGTATTTTATTACTCGTACTTTGAGCAGTGACGGCTCCTCCGAGTGTTGGCCAGGCACATTCGTGGTCGGGGCAAAGTAACACGACAAGACATGCCGATTATTCATTCTTCTTGGTGTTTCTGCACCATGCTGTTCTATTTCCCGGCCAACACGCTGGCTCGCAGGGGGTTTTCTTCGTGGGGGCGGCGTCGGACTACGGCGAGATGGTTGGTCGGCATTTCGCTCTGACGTTTGAGATCGTCGACAGATCCACGAGGACTGCAACGCCGTTTCAGGTACCAGTGGCCCCGCGCAATATACCGCGATGAGACCTTTGCTGTGCGCTCATTGGTTCAGCTGCAGTTCGTTTTTTCTGTCATCGTCTGAGCCTCATCCAGTTTTTGGGTCAAGATCGGTAAGAGGGGGCGGGCTCGTCTCAAAGTCCGGCGAAGCTGCAAGCAAACAAGGGAGCATATAACCTCCTGCTTTCCTATTCATATCGTGGAAATTGCCGTGCTATCCCCTTACTTGGCACACCCGACGAGCTTCTCCGCTAGGCCTGCCTGGTCCCTGCGCTGGTTTAAAGTTCGGGTATGGTCGATGATCACTCCAAGCCCCTCGGTAGCGTGCCGAACCACAATCGATGATTTGTCACCTTCGTGTAATGATGTCTTGTCTTCTTGTCCCATGTGGATGGAATCACAACAGGTAATCATCTTCGCCGGGACGGAAGAGATATTCCGGCGAGACAACATGTACGAGGGTACCCACGTGGCGACGGTTTCACTGGAAGCCCCGAGACGAGTTCTGCTTCGCATCGAGATGACGAACATGGCCCAAAGGCTGGTGTTCGAGGACCATGTGTTTGTGGGCTACAACACCAAGTTCCACGTAGCGCTGAAGTGGATGACTGCAATGCCAATGGTGCTCGCGTCGCTGCCGTTTTTGTGGCCCGACCGGGGGTTCCGGGGCACCCGCCGGGGGCTACCTGGGTGACCGCCAAGTAGATGAGCTGTGGGCCAAATAAGCTCAATGACGGCGACCTAAGTGCGGGATCACACGGAGAGCAATGAACCTTGTGTTTCCTGGAGAATTTGCGTTTGAAGAGCCGTTGTTTTCAACTACTGTGGCTACCCAAAGAGGCGGTGGCGTTGGTTTTTGAGTCGAAGATGGTGCATACCCCTAACCTGCTCTTGCTTCCCACCAGGGACCGGCGGAGCTGTGGGCAGTCCATCCCTTCCGAACAAGGCCTTGAAGAAGACAGCATGCGCTCTCTTGTGGCCCCACCCGTGTCCAGGTCGAGGATAACCTACAGCAGTGCAGGAACGATTATTCCATGTTTAGGCGTCGCCATAGCAGGGGCAAGAGATGGTATGGGCGGGTTTGTGGTGAACGTGAGCGGAAGGAGGAGGTCCTACGCAGTAGTCGGGATGGACAAAATACTTCTTTCTGCGTACGAAAGACGCGTTCGTCTGAAAACAGGGGTGAGGGCGAGGGAGCGAGGTACGTCTGGGGACAATGCAGGGGACAGGTAACGGTTTGGAGGGTAGCTGGCTGAGGATGGAAGGTCGCGCGAAGGGGTTGGAAATACCGGAAAGCTCCGTGTCGTTGTATGCACCAGGAGAAAAATGTCAATCTTCATTTGTGCCCGCGCCAAATACAGGAACGTCATCTATTCATGAGCCGCCATGGCGGCTGGCTCTGGAATTATACAACGTGCCCCATTCACGAATTTCCAGCTTGGAAACCCCTGGATAGATGACGGCGATTCATTTCCACATGTGTGTCCACTAACTAACTACACAATTGAAAATGACTTCGCACTGCAATAATAGTCTACATACACTATCAAACACGTGAATGTTGATCCTACATCTACGATATCCGATCTATTGAAAAGCAGCCGCTAGGCTACTGTGCTGCCTCTTTGACCGAAGCACTCTGGATAGGGTTCATATACAATGATCTGCACCAGCAGCAGCAAGCAGCTCTGAGGGTCCCGCAAACGATCTTTGTTTCCGCAGGGGGGGTACGGCAAGACTGGTGGGAAAACCCCGCCGTTGTTCCGCCCCTCCATTCTATTCCCTCCCGCAGGAAGCTCCCAACCATGAATATGCCGAACGCGCAGGAAGAAGAGCCGCTGGTCGTCGGCCGAGCAGGTCAGTTTCCACCCAAACGCGCGTATCCTTTCCCAAAGCGAGACTAGACGAACGAGCCGTCGAAACCTCTGAAGAATCATTCCCCAACAACCAGAGCGGTCGTCTAGACTAGACTAGACTAGACTTGTTGTCGAGATTACATACATCGTAGTATACCCTTCATCCATGAGTGCGAGGTCTGTTTACGGTCTACCCAACCGAAACTAACCCTGACCCTAACCCTCACTCACGTCCAACGCACGGCCGAGAGGTCGAAAACTGGTCTAAAACGCGGCCGCGCCGGGTTGTCGGCACGCTGAATGGGGAGAGGGCGCTGGAGAGGAACAGACCGCCCGATCCGACGTTTGATCAATCATCAGAGGGCGTAGACTGATAGGCCCTCGCACACAAGTGTAGAGAGGTGTACAGCAGCAGTACATGCATCATCAATCGTGGTGCGTAGAGCGTGTTGGTGTACAGCTCATCTCTTGTCTCCCAATGGATTGGTGGCCACACCCAACAATTGGCCGAACAGCCCGTGCACCAACAAACATACGTAAACAACAACAGCTGGGTTTGTCAACTCGGTCAGTCCTTTGTCTCCTTTCTGTGAGCTGCTCGATCAGGTGTAAGCACGCCCATCTCCTTGTGTTGCCCGGCGCTGTACTCATCGCCGCTCGCTATTGATAGTATGTTTTACCAGCCGGTTACCACAGCAGCGGCAGACAGAGAGAGGAATTCTGAACCTGGTTCCAAACAAGCCTCCTCCTCGGTCTTGGTGACGCGTGAATCCGACATGTTTGTTCGGCACAGATGCTGTGCTATCTCGAAGCATCGACCATGGAATGGAAAGGCAGCAGTTGGGACAGCTCGAGCAAAATGTTGCTTGTTGGGCACAAGTGTTGGCTCGTAACTTGGTGCCTAGATGGTGAAATGGCCACCAAGTGACCTGGCAGGACGCCGGAAAAAGCTGTGTTTTTTGGGATCCTGCCTCCGAGCAGTTTTTTTTTGCAAAACAAAAAGCATCCCTACCGGGCCGCTCTGCAAAATAAAGAAATCAAGGGAATTAATACATTTATTTGTTGGAAGCACATTGGCGGACACACTACTAGAGATTAGTGAAGAATTTTTCAACACAATTTTTCCATGTTTTTTTTTTTTTTGAAAACGGTCTGGACTAAAGCATGAACATGACAACATTTCGCGTTGTCTCAAAACGTTAGATAAACGAACAACACAGCATTCCATGGATGTTGTTGTTTTTGTTGTTGTTGTTGTTGTTGTCTTCACATTAAAAACCGTTCCGATCTCTCTCTACCCAGTACCTTCGCATGTCCGTACTGATCCAACACTCGACGCGGTCGATTCACGCGGTCGCAGGCTAACTTACCCTAAAAAGGTACACTCAAATATGGCCCCGAGGGGTCCGCAAGTCATTAGAAATCAACCGCAGATATTCTGGAGTCCTCCACTTCCTCTGCGCGCTATGCGAGGTAACAACTGAGACTAGGAGTCACCATCACGGGCCGGAGAGAAAGAGGTACACCCCCTTGGTTCAATCTTGGTACTTCACAGCGCAAGCGGAGACAAGGCCATCTGACACAGAAAAAGAGAGGAAAAGAGAAAAAGAGAAGAAAATAAAAGGAAACAGTAAGGCCATTTGTTACGATGTCTTTTTTTAGGCTGTCTTTTTTTCAAAAAAGAGACGACCCAAAAAATGATGTGGGCCGTGCCAACACAATGAAAGCCTTCGCAAGACAAACAGCGCCCGGTTGATAGAGCTTGGCCTGGTGGAACAGTTAAGCTTACCTGCTCCACCGGCCCTTGAGTCCCTGAGCCCCCGTGGGTGGGCGTTTCTCTGCACCCACTGGTCCGATCGGGGTGTCCGATGGCTTGAATGGTAGCTGTGGGACGTGCCAACACAATGAGGGCCTTATTTGGGGCACACAGGACCCTTTACATAGAGTTTGGCCTGGTGGAGCAGTTCAGCTTACCTGCTCCACCGGCCCTTGAGTCCCTGAGCCCCCGTGGGTGGGCGTTTCTCTGCCCCCACTGGTCCGATCGGGGTGTACGGTGTCTTGTATGATAGCTGTGAGCCGTGCCGACACAACACAAGCCTTAGTAGGGAAAACAGGACCCTTAACATAGAGGTTGGCATGGTGGAGCAGTTCAGCTTATCTGCTCCACCGGCCCTTGAGCCACTGAAGTCCCGTGGGTGGGCGTTTCTCTGCCCCCACTGGTTCGATCGGGGTGTCCGATGGCTCGAATGATAGCTGTGGGCCGGGCCAACACAATGCAAGCCTTGGTAGGGCACACAACACCATTTCCACAGAGATTGACCTCGCGAAGCAGATAAGCATATCTGCTCCACCGGCCCTTGAGCCCCTGAAGCTCCGTGGGTGGGCGTTTCACTGCACCCACCAGTCCGATTGGGGTGGAAGATGGCTTGATAGATAGCTGTCAGCCGTGCCAACACGATGCGGGCCGAGTTTGGCGTGGTTCAGCTATGTGACGGGAGGTATAGCGGGACAATTGACATTTCCCCCCGCCCTAGATGCGGCGGAACCCCCTCTGTTGACCGTATCTCTGCGGGAAGATATCGGATGGGAGTGTCCGATCGGGAAGATATCGGATGGGAGTGTCCGATACCTTGGAAGAACGGCATGGACCACGCAGACACGACGCAAAGGGTTTGAGGTCAATTGGAGCAGTGTGGACGGAGGTTCGAGACGATTACTGCTTCCTGACATGCCGCGAAACCCCTTTTTTCAGCATATCTTTGCAGCCACCGGTCGGATTTAGCTTGAAAGTGGCATGGCAGATAGCTGTAGTCCATACCTACACGATGCAAATGGTTTGAGGTCGATTGGATCTCTGTGGGTGGAGACCTGCCTGGTGGAGCATATAAGAAGTTACTCCACCGGTGAAGCAAATAGCATTGCCGTACTGGGCCTGTATTTTGATCAGGTTGAGGTTTTCTCAAAATTGTTTCGGTGCAAAATGATCTGACCCTCGCTGGACGAAAAAAAACCGGGAACACCTACCCCTCGCTCCTCCACCCTTTGGCGAAGGGTGTCCGTCAAGCTACAGTCAAGTGCTTCGGTTGCAAGATGAAGCAGCTGAGGTATGTGTTCCATTGCCTGAAGGAGAGAGGCTCACACACATAAGACCTCCCCGTATTGCCCGCCGCTAATCCAGGTATCGCAGAACCTTCAAGGCCAAGGGGAATTGTTTCCGGTGATGGTACTGCGGCCAGAAGCAGGACGAACGACAACCAGACTCGACGAGGAGATCCCTGACACCTCGGTGAGCGCGACAAATTGACAGCGCCACAGATCGTTCACGAGTATTTCTCAAAACGGCTGCAATGTATGTCAGGGAACAACAACACATGTGTCAGGAAGGGGGAGTTCGTGATTTTCGATACACAACTGTATGGCCGCAGCGGAGGGCTACCAACTACGAAGGGTTTTGCCCAAATGGGGGTAGAACAGGACGGATGCGCTGGCAATACTAGGGCCAACATTTTTTTGCTGACCGCGCACGACCAATCCAGCAACGCTTTGGTTGTACAACGAAGAGGATACAGCAGTAGCATTTGGAACTCGGTTGCGTCTCAGAGCTATCACCTTTTTCAGCCAACCCCTGTCCTCTTGCATTGTTGAGGATGGTGTGTTCTTGCAAGATTCGGTCGTTTCAATGCTCGCTGGACCAATCGCGTACCTCCAGATGTGACTCGCTTCCTACTGGTTCCAGGGCCGCACACTATCTTGTCCTTGGCTAGACGAATGAATGGCGGGGCAATTAATCAGGTTGAGACGGTTACGGCACTCAAAAGGTTCGGGCCGCGATTCCGTCGAGGCACGGGTAGAATGTATCTACATTCTTCATTCATAACCCCATCATAGGCCCTGACAGACCAAGAAACCGAGTAGAACACGCCTCATATGTCCGAGCAACGTCTATGGTCGATACCGGGCAGTCGGAGAAACCAGACGTTTGCAGCCACTTTCCCATTGGCCCTTTTGCTCCCTATAGAAATCGCATTACCCTGCAGGCAATGCTGACCAATTTAGTTTTCGAACATGCTTCGGTTCGATCACCGCGTGTACGACCTGGGTGCAATTGAAAATGCGAACGAGATTTCGAATCAATCCCGCTTGCGAGATTACTGTAGGCAACGAGATAACGGTAGGCTCACTTTGGAGATGAGACTTAACGCACGGGCTGGAGGCAAACAGAGAACAAACGAATAGATTAAAGTTGGGTCCCGCCACCAACCTGGGCAACAGGCCTCATCCAGCCTCCAACTGATGAGAATAAATGACATGTAGAAATCATCCACGATCATGTATATGTAGCAGTGGTACGAAAACCAGATATCTGACAGAGCAGGAAAGCATGCCCATTAGCCGAAGCGCCGCATAAGTCCATTTGTGAAGCCACTTCTGCCATATCGCTACACCTTACACTGCCGACGTGTTCATACTCGCTTGCAAATGCCACCCTCTGTCATCCGTTAGACATACTGGGTCGAGACGCTAGCTGAGCCAATGGCACTCGTCCGACCACTCGTGTATGTGGGAATGGACAATGGTGAGTTGCTCAATGCACCGGCGTTGTATTGTGCGACAATCTGTTCCATGCCTACTCTAGACTTTTGCTTCAAAGAATCATTCTGATTGGGATACATGTAGCACCCGCCCTCGAGAGAGCTCGCACCAGGTGCCTGGCGCGGACCTGTTGACATCCAACTTGCATGTTGCTCCCATTGAGTCCGAACACGATTTCGTAGCTCGAATGCGGGGCTGTCGGGTGGACGGATGCGCCTACCAAGGAGAGATGTTGTGGTGTTGAGTTGTTCATTGTAGTGCCAACCCCCACAAGGATGTTCGGAACGCTCCCCAAAAACGAGGTACCATTGAATAACGGGTGTAGACCTATCGACCAACCGGCAATGCTTCCTCTCGCGCCTTCCGTCGCATGCGTCGGTGGTGGAGGAATATTTCCAAGGCGGTAAGGGCAGACGCGGTAGCTGCGCAGGAACAGGCGGCATCTGCGAGGGAAGGTGCGGCCGCTGCGAGGGAACAGACTCGAGAAGTCGCGGTTGAGTTGGCGGCTGCACGGGTGGACACTGCAGCTGCAAGAGCAGCAGCGGCCGCTGCGAGGGAACAGACTCGAGAAGCTGCGACTGAGCTGACGGCATCCAGGACAGACGCTGCAGCTGCAAGGAAAGCAGCAGACGCTGCGAGGGAACGGGCTCAGGAGCCGGAACGTGCGCTGACGGCTTCAAGAGCAGAGACAGCGGCTGCTAGGGAGCGGTGTGTGGCTGAAAGATAAGACGCCGTTGTGGCAAAAGAACGGGCCGAGGAAGAACGGAGGGAATGGGCCGCGGCCAGGGAAGACATTGAGGCTGAGCTTGCTGCTTCGAGGAAAGAGACTGCGACCGCAACAAATAAGAGGGAGGAGGACTACGAAATACTGGTGAGGTGACTCGGCGCCTTGAGGGCGCCCATATGGCATCGGGTCATTTGGGACTGAGTTTCGAAGATGACAGTTGCTCCCGTCCAGCAACCTGGACATTAATCGCACGCCACCGTTAGTCGTCACGATCTATGCTCAATGTAGAGGGTCGGTTTGGGAGCGACGTTCATCCACACGAATACTGTGCTTTAAGCATATCGCCATGAGGAACTGGTATTCGACTTTTTACCGGCGTGGTCGCTTTTGACGCTCAACGGTCAATGTCTGTGGACTATTTCCTCCCATGGAAACCACCGTGCTTTCAACGGGTCAATGGCTCTTAGAAGAATGGTGGTTTGGAAGAGTCAACGGAGAGGTGCGGTCCTCAGAGATCAGCTGAAGTTGTACTATTCGCCGTCGTGTCCTAGCACAGCTCCGTGTTCCATGGCTCCACTGCCAAGTGAGCCAAAAAAGAACCGAAAATTGGACAGTGGATCAAAACGCGTCCAGGGGAGAGACAGGCAACAGCGACTCGGAATCGACGCAGGAAGAAAGCTTACGTGCAAGGTGGCGGCCGATAACTACACGATGCAGAATCAACTTGGCTTCGCACGAGAAGGGCGGTCCAGCCGGGGTGTAGTTGAGTACACCTAACATTCAGGGCCACGGTGGGATAGGTGACGTGGGGTCGAACCTGCTGCATTACCTCGTGCCATGCACAGGTATGCAGATCATCCTTCCTCAGATTCTCATGCCTGTGGTAGTGACAGAAGATTACCGTCCGATGGGAAATCCATGACCCTTTTTTTCGATACAAACATTACCCCAAACACAGACACAGAACGAGAGAGTTTGAGTCAACGACCGAAATCAAAGTTGGGTCTCTTGTGCAGACGGCGACTTCACGGTCCAGGTTGTCAGGGTACGGTATGGTTGCCGCAGAGAGTCGGTGCGGTTAACTGGTATTCGAAACAAAAGCGTTGAACCGTTCAGAATATGACTACCTATTCCTACCTCACGAAAGCTCTCTTCTCTTGATTTCACTCCTCCCTTGCTCCTAATATCGAAACACGCGGCAGAGTGGTTGTGGCCTCTGTGTCAACAAGTGCTTGGCATTGGGTTTTGCTGTTCGGGAGTCTAGAACGCGATTAGCTCCGGATGATGCTCGCCCAGGGTGTTGCTAACGAGCTGGGTGTGGTACCTAAGCATGGAGACGCCGAGTCTTCGACTCAAATGCTCCAAAACATCGAACGACCGGTAGAAACAGGCAGATTAGTTTTTTCAGCAACAGTGCAACACGCTACAATGGTGCCTTGGCGGAAGGGCGAGGTGTTTGCGTTGTTTGTATATGTCACATGTGGTTCGGATGACCGAAATCCGAAAGGGAAAAGAGACAGGTGCTCGAAAAACCTGTGTTGTAAACGGGGCAAACAGCTCATGAGGAGGATGCAAGCGTCCGTTAGGAAACGGTGCCTCGAGGGACGTACGCAAAGTTCCCGAGGCGCTGTGACGGTACATATTCGACCACGCCCCCCCGCCCCCGGGTGAGTCTCGAAAACATTCAATACACGGAAAACGAAAGTATTCAGCGCGTCGGTGCTGCTCCGCCCATCGCTAAATGCTGCTTGCTTTTTGGGGCAGATCCAGCCCACATCTTGTTGTGATTCTTGCTCACGCAACCGGGTGTTTCCCGTCGAGGTAGCCAGAAGAATGTCGCCGGGCGTCCTCCGCGTACCGGCGGGGTTCGTTCAGCCCAAAGCCGAACAATGTGCCTCGTTTCGTTTGTTGTGTAATGTAGCATCCCGGGGTTATGTCCGTGGAGGACCTAGTTGACTCCATTCTTTTCAAGAAGTCAACCTTCCTTCCCTCACCCCCTCTCCTCTTTCCCAGTCGGCAAAGCTTCCTGAGGCACAAACGGCGGTCATGGAGCTGAAACCTTACCTCGCCCCTTTTCTAGCCAAGGAAGCGGCCGTCAGGGCGACGGAAGCACAGGAAGCGGTGAGTGGATCTTCACTACGCCCCGTAACGTCGTTGAACGAACAGCAGTATCCGTCTGCTGCCGCTCGCGTCCCCCAATCCCCACGCAGACCTCGGCCACCATTCAATCTGCGCCACCATACCACCCCGCCTCTTGAATATCATCGAACGCTGCCCACGAGCCGGGTAGCGGGGTGCCGCAAGAAGTGCTCAATGTGCAGCACGGATAATGTTGTTCGGAGCACGCCCTAGGCCTCGTGGTGTCCCCGTTCCTCCCATATGCATACGTCTCTCTGAAAATAGTCACGGTAGGTCGATATTTCGATGTTTCATCCTGACAAACGACCACATCATCAATTTCATGTTGGCCCGCTGCACCCGTACAACATACCATGTATCATGCTGAAGGCATGCGAGGTGCTTTCACGGAGAGAGGCGGAGAAATATGCAGTTCTACTCGTATCAGGGTAAGGCGTTTCAGCGTTCCGCCTGTCACCGCTGATTTCACCTTGAATCTTGTTGAGCAGGGTCGCGCCTCTGTCGCCGGTCCGTCCCTGTCGCCCATCCATGGTGGTGAACATTCGTTGAAGAACATCTCGGCGAATTAAATGTTCTGGCCTGTACTCAATTCAGATGTTTCAGTTTTCGACGTGATGGATTAACGTGTAGACTATGTCGTGTGCCAGCCGGGGTGTTCGGTCTACCTACTAACGCTTGGTTTACCGCTTTCCTTCGGATCGTAGACATCCGGACTGGTACGTCGACGTGGGAGATGAACAGCTCTGTGAAAAAGCAGCTTGGTACGGACATCTCGAGGCCCTTCAGTGGGAGAGAAACAACGGATACCCCTGCGATGAGAACACGTGCTCTAGCGCGGCTATAAATCGACACCTTGACGTGCTTCAATGAGCGAGAAACAACGGATGCCCCTGGGACGAGACCACGTGCTGCTGGGCGGCTTACAACGGACAGCTTGAGTGGTCCTTCAGTGGTCGAGAACAACGGATGCCCCTGGGACGAGCCCACGTGCCGGTGCGCGGCCATCAATGGACATCTTGAGGTTCTTCAATGGTCGAGAAACAACGTATGCCCCTGGGATGAAACGACGTGCTTTGAATCGGCTGAGAACGGACATCTTGAGGTCATTCAGTGGGCGAGAAACAACGGATGCCCCTGGTATAGGGACGATTGCCTATACTGGGCTCAAGAAACAAGTAACCAAACACCTAGACGGGGCCCCGTGCCGAAGCAACGACACTTTCGGTAGATGAGACAGCAAAGACGGATGTCCTTCCGGGTGTCCTCATGTGGTTCCACAAGTACGAGCGAAGGGGGGGGGTGAGGGTTCCAGGGGTGGGGCTTGTGAGAACACGATAAGAGGTCGATACACCTGGGACGAGAGGATATCGACACGGGATGCCTGGCAAACAGCATGACCTTCGTGCTCGGTCCTTCGTCTTGTATGATGGTAGTTTCGAAGGTGCTTTCCGCCCGCCCTCCGGGGAAAGCGCGAAGAACAAGAACCGGGGGAGTAGGCTTCAATAGCGTGCTTCAGGCCGCCCAGCGGCAAGCAGTGGTGACAGAAACCGTGGGGTTGTTTTATGGACGGGGCAGAAGGAAATCTAACCTGTGTCGGACGAATGTATGTTTGGCCGGCTTGATGAAGTTGTTGTTGATTCGAGCGGCAAGGTTTTATTGTTTGCCTCAGGAGGGGGGTTGCACAAAGAGAAATGTACAACGCGTAGAGGAAGTAAAGCTAGATTGTACATAATGTAACATTGTGTCATAAGATGGCAGCGAAGGATGGGTGCATCGCGTGACGGCAACACAACCAGCCCGCTACCGCAGGGTATGCACGACAGTTACTCGTGCCGGGACAGTATTTACGTCGAAGAAGACCCGAAACGACCACTGACTGATTGCGGGACAATTTTTCGCTCTTTCGGAATCGCCCAACTCACGGTACCGGTTTGCTCGTCCAGTCAAACCGTGCGGCTGGTGTATGCATACGACGAGGGATTGCGCCAGCAGCGAGGCTTTTCTGTTTCGAGGCGTTAGCATGGACCCTTGTGAGAGAATTCCACCACTGCCTGTTGTACATGGTGCCTATCTAGAAGCGAAGTAACGCATGGAATATGCAGTAGGCCAAGTGTGCGTGCGAACAAACGTGTTTCAGCGTCGTCGCGGGTTTGTGCTACCACTGAATGTGCCCTATCTGTTTTCGTCATTTGGTTGGCTCATGTCGGTTGGAGAGGATAAGCGTCTTGGTGGGTGCGGAACGAGCGATATCGAGGCAGCACATGGAATACACAAGCTGAACGGCTACACCCAAAGACGTGCTCAACCGTACAACTATCCAAATGTTCCCGACCAGCGAAAATCTGTTTTGAGATTAAGCACGAGTAACCTCTTTAAACTGAGGATCTCCGTAACACTCCAATAAATGCTTGCGGTATGAACAGCATGAGCATACAGTAGATTGGATCAAATGTCAGCACAGTGTATATCTCCCTTCTTCCCCTCGCTCCCCGACAAGCTTTTGCTTAGACATGGGTTGTAGCGAAGGGGGGGGTCTTTCTGGCGAGCAGGGCTAGACTCACCCTCAAGGGATGACCGAAACCTTCTTGCTGCTGCGCATCCGCCGCGAGGCGTGCGTGTGGTGGTGGAGTTGGGTCGGCACTGATGGGGTCAGGCGGGAAAATGTAGATG